TCTATTTCCAGAACAGCCTACATGTACGTAAACCCCGGGTGTCACGATATGACATTTGTAAAGTTAGAACAATGCAAAAACTATGTAAATTCCACTTGCTCAAAGACATGAAAACTGTTTCAAGCGTTGATAGCTATTTGAAGCTGATGCATTAGGCTGTAAAGCAGCTAGGTACAACAGGAAAAGCTAGTACGTCCATGTCCCATGTGGTTACAGACGCGGAATCAAACGAGACACTGGATTTGACTTTGATTCGCGTTCGCATGAAAGAATGTATAATCATTCATGCAGATTATGAGGGTAAAACAAAATAGGGATCGATCGCTTAATATTCGGTGGAGTTTTCATTCCACTCACTGTATTTAAGACACATATTTCTCTTGAAAGGAAGGGAGAAAACATGTTTCTCTTACTATGAAAGGAGCGGCAACTGTTTTACACATTGTGGTGTTCAGTTTTTGTCATTTTGTATAATCAGTGCTAAATGTTTTTCTCCTGAAAATATCACGAACAAACATATATTTTATGAGTGGATATAAGTCTGTCGTGGTTGCTTTAGTTCCATGACAATATAATTAAGATATGAAAAAAACTTATCTTCCCTAAGTGGTGGTAAAAATGAAATCGAATCGCGCAGTCATTTCTGAGCACAGTTTGGTATTAACAATTCATTGTCCATAGAGAATATGTTACCGAACACAAAGAGCATCAATCACATCAATACCACATCTTTTATTCCATTACAATACCTCTCGGCGCTAAGATCAGATGACATCTCCAGAGGACGCCATGTAAGGTGATCATTGTAACCATCCAATCAGCGTCGAGTCGAAATTATCGACGTTCAAGGTAAAGCCGCGGTGACTGAGCGAGTTAGGCGGCTGACTTTGTGTGCTGGCGATTAGGTGCCTGATTCTGAGTGTGTGGGTTCGAATCCCGGATGGGAGTCAACCAAACAAAAGTACTAGAATCTGTACTTTACTAAGAAAGTGTGATCCCAAATATAACATAGTTCACATTTGGTAACGAGTCATGTCACCCCAAACACGTTCACCCCAGCACGTTTCACCCCTTTTAGGGGTTGTTTCAACCCAGCAAAAAAAAAAAAGAAATTATTATCAACGGGCAGCTTCTTTCACCTTCAAAATATCAAAATAATTATTTACGTGTCATTTCAACAATCCCATATTTAAAAGGTATCAATTAAACATTATTTATCAAGCGCTGTGTAGTAACATGCATGCAACATTCTTATTAAACAGTTGTTGCGACTAAGTATGACCTGTGCCACCTATTCTGTGTTGATGGCGATGACAAGTTTCACACTGCAGTTCATCTTGCGCGGTATTACTCTCTTTTTGCAGCTGAGGCAGATATCCAAACATGCAGTCGCCATGGCAGAAATGCAAGTGTAATGTCTATCTCAATGTCGACTTATTTAAATGTTCATTCAAGTTTTAAGCGTGATGAGATCAGGTGAGATGAAATGAGATATAAACTGAAGTCCATCTCAACACAGATACAGTAGCATTAACCCGATTGTTGGAAAAACATTGCCTAATTAGGATTAACAGATTTAAGCATTAATGCCATTCTCCATGTATACTCAAAAAAGTTTGGTCGAAAGGTCGGCGTTATGAACCTGAACCTCACCGGTGAAACGACCCCTAATGTGGAATGAACTGACCTAGTTTGGAATTGGGATGATACAACCCAGGTGAAACGACCCGGGTGAGACGGCTTGGGGTGAAACGATCACTTTCTCTACATTTGACCACTTTCTAAATGCCATTGAGTATTCATGGCATTGTGTATGCAATCAAGTAAAAGGTCTATGTATTTATATGCATTTAAATGCACCGATGTGTTCTATAACAAGGAGCATTATGTGTGATGTATGAGAGAGGTGGGTTTTACGCTGCTTTTAGCAATATTCCAGCAATACGGGCTTCACACATTGTATCCATGTGGGGAATCAAATCCGGCCCTTCGGCGTGACGCCGAATCCTTGGCTATCCGACCTCTTCACACTGTCGCGAAGAAGCATTGCAAGTAATGGACACATACATTTCTGTTAGATAACAAATGTAATAGGAAACATGTTCTTCAGATTCCAGTTGGCATTTGTATTACCAAATAAGTGCAGAGATATCGTTGAACAGCTGGTATGAACACCCATACGCTGACATTTGAAGAAAATAGTTGAGTTAATATACACAGCGAAGAACAATTGAAATGCTGAATTCAAGGAAGCAACACAGACAGTAATATCCAGAAAGTAACCTTTTGGGGACACGAAAGCTCGGTCGTTAATACAGGAAGGAAGATGCAGTGAGAACATGTCAGACCGACAGTCACACAATGACTAGAATTCCCTGTGGGAAAACAGTGAGCCTGAATTATATTGTTTCCGTTTCGTTATATGGTTGAACGTTGTTAAAGGGATCTCAGGTCCATGGGTTATGGGGCACTTCATATAAGGCCATTGTAATGATAAATTCTTTCTCCATGTTATGCTGATGAATTCACAGGAATTACAGCATGGAGATGAAGATCTTGATTAACATGCTCTCCTCTTCATCTCCCATGCTGGTAGCACCGGGGCCAGGTCCTTCTCCGAACTTGAAAACATGCGTGCTGCATCTTTAGGCTTGTAGTCAATGTACGTTTTTCGTAGGGTACTTCCTTACACAGGGGCGAATTTGAGTGTGCTTTTCTTTCGTTAAGTGACTTTTATTGCCTGCGTTGTGAGAATCGTACCCCCGAGTGAGTGAGTTAATATTTATCGTCACAAGCCTGTTGACGAAGAACAGTGTAACTACCAGTGTATCACAGATAGTAAAGTAAAAGCATGTTATCATAAAACGATATTTTTCAAGAAGACCATACAATATAAAACCAGGCTATGGATTGCCAACAACTGAAGGTAGAGCACCATACTAGGGACCATGGGGACTTACAGTACATTTGCTTCCTGCATGGACCTTAGCTTGATTGACGCCATCTCTTCAGCCGTTAGCAATTAAGATAAATTTGGCCGTACATTAAAATAACATATATACCACGATTAAAAATTGTAGTAGATTTAAATTTACTTTGTATTGGGACTCACGTAGACTTCGAACCCCCGAAGGAAGTCTTGACTGTAAACGCCATAAGGACAAGGGGATGTTTATGCAAACTACTGTATCGATAATAATGGGTCATGTCCTTTGAGAGCACCCCTCTATAACAGTGACTCGAGCGTTGATGCAGAACAAGGTTACAATGAGTGAGTGAAATTTAACATAGCGACGAGGCCAAGTTTATACATATACACAAAACCATTATTACCACAAAGTCGCATTTGAATATTTTTTCCATAAACACATGTGAACATTGCAGTATTGTTTACAATTAAAAACACGGGCTATAATCTCAAATGTCAGAAAAGCATGAAACAGATCTTGGCTGAAACAGATCAGGTTGACTGCAATTACAAAGTCCACTCAGTCAAGGAAAATATACTTGACTCTGGGCCTTCTATCACAAGACATACACATAGTAGGGTCCTTCACGACTGTAGGATTATAAGACAGATATAATTCCATTACATTCCCACTGCTGTAAGCTAGATTGCGTTTGATAGGCATTACTTACATGCTAGCTTGTATGCAGACAGAGCATATGTATTGCCTTTTGTGGCCGATACGCTCTTGACTACCATAAAATAATATTATGGAGATATGTTGGAAAGTGAAAATATTTGAAAGTTTTTGGAAAATATGGACAAAAATGTTTTGTGGAGAAACATAATCTGGTATATAATCTCATTAAATGAGTTGTTCATTGAATAATGCATCAATATGCCAATACTTTGATGTGGATATATTCAGAAAACATAAACATACATATAAGGCGTCAGCATTTTTCCAGTGTGCCCATTACCATGAGTTGATTTGAAGAAGAACTGACAGAGGTTATTTCTACATGATTTGCATCCTTAAACCAAGACGTTGAACAGCATACTGTCTGACAAAACGGACATATTCAGCATAAATTGACTTGGGACATGAAGTTTGGGAATTGAAGAAAAACAGAAAAAAGAGAAATGTAGAAAGTTTGTCCTCAGGGTTTAACTACAAAATATGTTTTTGTGTTATTACTGGCCTACCTTTCATTTCTCGTGATTTAACGAAGTGTTCTAAGAATAGCAGGTCTCCCAAAGGATTCCATCAGAAACTGACATCATACTTAAAGTATTTTGATGTCAGGTTATTGTAACATGAGAGATTGGGGTATGTGATTACACATTATATCGATGAATCTATATTCGTAGCTGAACTGCGTTTGACAGCTTTTGCTGTATTCGTTCAGCATGTTCAGCAGGGTTAGTTTCCCATTAAGAAAGTGCCACGGGTCTTTCGCAAGTTCTGTATGTAACGACACGTACGGTTGTAATCTTTTAACAATTTCATGTTTCACAATGTTTTTACAGAAAAACCCGTGTGACTATCTAAGTTAATACCATCTTTCTATCTCTATTTCGATCTAAAGGGAAAGTGTGTTGATCACAGGATTGTCTGGTTCAGACTCGGCTATTTACAGACCCCGGCCATATAAGTGGTCATTGCTGAGTCCGGGCTAAGGAAACATACTTAAGGAAAATTGGTCATGATCTGCTAGACCAGTTATTCATAGAAATGAGAAATAGGTTTCATATTTATGCAAAGTGTTTTCATTAAGCAAACTTCCCTTTATCCATATTATTGTTCTCTTTGAAGCCAATAGCAATACAAACGGTCGGTTACCTCTCTTTCATTGCATTTTCGTAGCAAATTAGGCAGTTGGGAAACAATAACATTATTTATTGCTATATGCATGGCCAATAACCTTATTAATATATGTACGGAAAAAGAATGATTAGTGAAACGCTCTTTTTCTGCCATGGTGCTTCATGCATTGAATAGTATGCATATAAAATATGTGTGATGTCCTAAAACATATTTTTCTAATTGCAGATGCTGGCGTTCTGTTTTGATATTGGACACAGATGGAATTTGCTATTGATTGCAACATCTCTCAGCAAGGATCATATACATTATTGAAATACTCTCACTCCTTAAGCCACGCTATCAGCGGTAATTGGTAAAGTATTGTGACTTAAATTGAACATCAAATTCCCATGACATCGACTTGAGTTTCCAGGTGTTGATGCGTCGTATACTGTTTAATAGATGATCGGTGTGCAGGATTGGGACAACGCCACCATGAACGTATATTCACTAGAGAAATGTAGTGAATGTCTCAAGTAGCCACCAACTTTTACCATTGGAGCAAGGGCTGCCTATCGTGTGCTGTCAATCGATCGGTCGACTCAGCAGTGCTCTACTGGCTGGCTAGCTACTGGAAGCACTAGCTATCTTACTGCGCACTAGAACAACTGTGAACCAAAGTTGCTGATATGCTACCAGGATCTGGATTGATTCTTGACAGGATGTACACCATAGTGTTTTCTTTTATTTGTTCTTTGAGGAAACCTTAATGCTTGCATCGATACTTGTGTTCGTTCCCGGAGAAGCAACTGGTACTATTGACGATCACTGAAAGCTGATGTAAGTTGCCAACTTTTTCGTGTAACGTATTGTGTTTTGCGTTCTTATTTTCTCCAAATGCGAAACTTTGTTATTCTTTTAAGGATGTTGGTGTCTATCCTTTAATTTGGAACTCTGGGCAATAACCACGAATGAAAAGAATTCATGTTACACAGATCACAAGTTGAACTGACTTCTGTTGTGTAGGACTGAAAGTGCCTGTTAATTGTACAACCATGAATAATTCAACCATCGACGATCTAAATGGTGAAATTCAAGTGGAAAACAAGGCCTTATTCTTGGCAGGGATTTACTTAAACAACTATTACCTGTGGGTAATTTTTGCCATTGGATTTCCCGGAAACTGTGCCAGTGTTGTGACAATTATTCGCATGCAAAAGCTGACCACTTCAACATTTTATGTTGCCTTCTTAGCTGTAGTGGACAACTTAGCTATTGTTCAAAAATTGCTGTACCTACAACTTACGTTACACGGGGTATGGATCGGATCCGTTGGATGTAAGATACTGAATTTCTTAACTTTGTTCCTTGTGACCTATTCCAACTGGATATTGGTAGCGATGGCAGTCGAGAGATTCGTGGCTGTGAAATATCCTTTGAAGATTAGTGTGTTTTGGAGCATAAAGCGAGCATTTGTTAGTCTCATTGCTCTGGGTGTGATTATGTTCGGAGTGTATAGCCACCTTTTTTGGACCTTTACTTCCGTGAATGGAATTGACTGCGGGATGTTTATTGAGTACGTTCGTTTTTACCGGGATATCTGGTACTGGATCAATGCAGCAGTGTACTCCATTGTACCCTGCAGTCTTCTCCTTTCTTTGAATGTTCTCATCATTCGGGCAATCAAGATCTCCCGACAACAGCGGATTGAGATGTCTGTTGAGAGTGAAAAGACGCAGACAACGGGAAAGACTGTACGCCAGGACAGACAAATAACTGTAATGTTGATGACCGTCACTTTTGTGTTTGTGATTTTGACGGTACCACGTACTATATACGTTGTTGTGGATCTCTTCTGGACTGTCGAATATGGTACACTGGAAGATGCTCAAAAATATCTTATCAATCAGGTGACATTTTTCCTGTGTGATTCAAACCATGCTATCAATTTCTACCTGTATTTCATCACAGGCCGTAAGTTCCGACGTCAGTTTCTTGACCTGTGCATGTGTCGGAAACGGAAACGACAAGCCCAGAACGTCACAAAGTGTCATTCAGTATCATGTACAACTTCCGTGAAAGCTGAATCTCGAAATGGCAGCAAAACAAATAGAAAATTTAAACCAGTAGCTATGTGAATTACTGCTGTGAAACTAAATAGTAACCAGATTTAGAATAATTGATGTATCGTGTTATCGGGAAAAGCAAAATATATCACTGCTTTTCATTGGTTTCGAAGGTTGACCGACATGACTCACTGGAAGCTTTGTGAATCCGACAAAAAGTGTGCATATTTAATTGAAGAATGTGTCTTTGCATGAACATGGTGCATAATTCATATGTAATACATAAAACTACGTTACAGCGCTTTAACTATTGTCAAATAACAATAAAAAACGTGACTGATAGAAATATTTTGAGTAGCACTGACCTGTATAGCAAACCACAGTACATGATATATTGAATAAAATATTGGCACGGCAAATACAGGCGTTTCAATTAGAATATTTTCATTACAATCGTTCATACGTGAATGGAATAACACTATATTAATGCAAATGGAATAAGATTTATTGTAACAACAGGTGAGCAATCATATCTTTTAGAATGTGTTTCACATGCCAGCCCTGAGTGGAATTCATTTGTGAAACTTTCAAAGAGCTGCATTGTAGACATGTGGTGGACATCGGTACATGCGTATCAGTAACAAAACATGTCAATTGCGATTCCCTATTTTGAATTGTACCATATTTTCCCGTCCTTTGTGACCTGCTCATGTTTTATTCCACAATGATCAATTCGTATTGATAAGATTACATACGTTGAGTGGAGAGAGAGAGAGAGAGAGAGAGAGAGAGAGAGAGAGAGAGAGAGAGAGAGAGAGAGAGAGAGAGAGAGAGAGAGAGAGAGAGAGAGAGAGAGAGAGAGAGAGAGAGAGAGAGAGAGAGAGAGAGATGTGTTAGCCCTATAGGATACCATGTAGCAGTTTGTATACCCTTCTGGGGCTTCGAGCCGACCGGTCTTTGCCTTATCGGAGCATGCCCAGCATCTTCTGTGAACATCTGTCAGAGTGACATGGTAAGGGCATCAAACCACGGACCTTCTGAACTCAGCACAGAAACTCCATCTACAAGCCCATGTAGGCATTGAAACTTATCAACGGTATCATTTCCTCAAAATCAAAGGTGATCAAAACAGGACGAAACATTGGAGTACATTTTGAAAGAAATGGATAGTTCTTGGTTGATGCTGGTTTGAAATGCTTATTGAATGGATGTGTGAAGCGCTTCCTGTCGTTCAAGAAAGGAAATACTACTTGTGTCTCGACGGATCTTTGAGGAAAGCAATACATATCAATCAGTCCACGCAAACGCTTCATTGATAAACTGCCTTTTCTCGTGTGCTGAGATCGGCAACGAAGCTTTAAAGAATAAACATCGGACTTTACAAATATGCTTATGGCATGACACGCTGGCCCTCGTCTCTCAGGAGAAATGCTTGAGCAATATAATCATGAACGTAAGGATCAAGCGTAACCCTAAGATGGATTAGGCAATTTCCCTTTTCTCTGTAGACCATTTCTCTAGAACGTTTAAGTTTTAGATATTTCCATCCACGCTCAGTCTGAACCGCTGTACACAGAAAAGCATTGTGTGTCGAGTGGTGAGTTGCCAACATTGTTTCCTATCAAAGAGCTAAAGCGTTTAAACACAATTGTCATACATTTATGGTTTTGCTTGTGGATTCGTCCATCAGAGGACTGTGCGCATTAGACCACGCTAATGAACATTAAATTGTGCCATAGATTTTATGTTGCGGAGTTAGTTCAGGACTACCATAACAGAAACCTTTTCTCAACAGTGATGGCCAGGTATTGAGTTTTTGGCATGTAAGAGCTGCATCGGAAACCTCAACACGTTGTCAGGATCAATTGAATCGAATAAGACATGCTTGTAGCTTTGAATAATGGCATTGTGATACCATGGTAGCCACAATACGAAAATTTGTAAATGCAAACATCTCATTACTTAATTCGTATTTGGTCATACCGCAGTGCTCCTCCAAATGTGCAATTTTGTTGGAAAAGACACTTCCATTCACCATTGCGTACATCATGAGCCTCCTCTACTACGTAAAACTACGTAATAAGAACATTTATTTATTGTTCTTTAATTCAAAGTCGTAAGTTTGAGCATCTAAAGTTGATGTGAAATCAGAACAGATGGGTTACCTGGTGGTTTACCTGTATATCTACATTACATGGAACGACGTGTTCATTTTCCTAAGGGCGGTGGGGTAGCCTAGTGGTTAAAGCGTTGGATCGTCACTCCGAAGACCCGTGTTCGATTCCCCACATGGACACAATGTGTTAAGCCCATTTCTGGTGTCCCCCGCCGTGATATTGCTGGAATATTGCTAAAAGCGGCGTAAAACTAAACTCAGTCAGTCAGTGAGTCATTTTCCTAAGAGTACCTTCTGTAATTCAATTAAGATGAAATTGTTTTCATCAGCCATTCAAATAACCCGAAGCAGTCGATGCCTGCATACTTTTATAACAAATGTTTGTGAAGATGAATTGGTCACCATATAATTTTGCCTGTCCTAAGAGGTGATGGGGTGGATGTGGATCGGGTGGTCAGACCCGGTGAATTGGTCGGTTTCATGTCATCGTTTTGAGATTACAAGCATCTTTGCTCGTAATATTAATGGTAAGACTGGCCCTGGCCTTTAGAGGCCGTTGTTATACAGCTGGAATACACCTGATTAATGCGTTAAGCAACACTGACAAAACAATCAATGGAGGCACCACCCTCGTGTAAGCATGATTAATGTTCGTGTCTTCTTTAATGGTGTCTGACCTGATCGGTGCTCTCGATATCGATCACTGGGTCCAGAACTAGCAGCTGAAATACTGCAGCAAGTGCCACACAACAAACAACCCAAGCTCTAATGTTAATGAAACTGCACTATCACAACTTAGTCTCAGATTCTTATGAAACTTGTTTGGCAGTGTAAACATATATCCATCTTTACAAATACATGTATGCCACAGAATACGTTGAGCATGGCCATTGCATAAATTGCGTCAAATTAAAATAGCTTCAGTGAAAAGCATGTTTCACTGCAGAGTCATGATAAAACACATCCGTAGAGAAAATAACATGAAGGTAGCTCTGGGGGTGGCAGAGGACACAACACGCTTGTGGTAGGTTCGGTTTGTTACTTCGTATTAGTTCGTAAGCAGATGGATTATATGCAAACTGCAGAAGTTCTGTGGAAACAAGCTGTCGTGAACATGATGTAGCATCCAGCAAACCCACACGAGACACAGTTTCCATGTAAATAATCGATCAGGACTGACAGTTTAGTTATTTCGGAACAGAAAATGTCATTTCTGCACTTGCAAGCAATGCACCTTTCTGTGTCCCTCCAATACACTTGGTAAAAACGTTCGCCTCAGGTTTTACAAAAACAAGAAAAAACCCAAAACAAACAAAAAACAACAACAGTATGCAGGAGATGAATAGCCTTCGACCTACTGCCAGCCTACAACCTGCTGATATCCTTAAACCTGCTGATAGCCCCAACCTTCTTATAGCCATCAACCTACTTCCAGCCTACAACCTGCTGATATCCTTAAACCTGCTGATAGCCCCAATCTTCTTATAGCCATCAACCTACTTCCAGCCTACAACCTGCTGATATCCTTAAACCTGCTGATAGCCCCAATCTTCCTATAGCCATCAACCTACTTCCAGGCTACAACCTGCTGATATCCTTAAACCTGCTGATAGCCCCAATCTTCTTACAGCCATCAACCTACTGCCAGCCTACAACCTGCTGATATCCTTAAACCTGTTGATAGCCCCAATCTTCCTATAGCCATCAATCTACTTCCAGCCTACAACCTGCTGATATCCCTCAACCTGCTGATAGCCCCAGTCTTCTTATAGCCATCAACCTACTTCCAACCTACAACCTGCTGATATCCTTAAACCTGCTGATAGCTCCAATCTTCTTATAGCCATCAACCCTACTGCCAGCCTACAACCTGCTGATATCCTTAAACCTGCTGATAGCCCCAATCTTCTTATAGCCATCAACCCTACTGCCAGCCTACAACCTGCTGATATCCTTAAACCTGCTGATAGCCCCAATCTTCTTATAGCCATCAACCTACTTCCAGCCTACAACCTGCTGATATCCTTAAACCTGCTGATATCCTTAAACCTGCTGATAGCCCCAATCTTCTTATAGCCATCAACCTACTTCCAGCCTACAACCTGCTGATATCCTTAAACCTGCTGATAGCCCCAATCTTCTTATAGCATCGACCTATTTCCAGCCTACAACCTGCTGATATCCTTAAACCTGCTGATAGCCCCAATCTTCTTATAGCCAACAACCTACTTCCAGCCTACAACCTGCTGATATGCTTAAACCTGCTGATAGCCCCAATCTTCTTATAGCCATCAACCTACTGCCAGCCTACAACCTGCTGATATCCCTCAATCTGCTGATAGCCCCAGTCTTCTAATAGCTGTCAACCTACTGCCAGCCTACAACCTGCTGGTAGTCATCAGCCTGCTCATATCCTTCAACCTGCTGATAGCCTCGATCTTCTTATAGACATCAACCTGGTGATAAACAACAACCTGCCGATAGGTGTCAACCTGTTGATACCCCCAATCTTCTTATTGCCACCAATTCCGGATGGCCTGCATGTTGCTGGGTGAAAGTTTGTGTGACAGGCGAGTGAGTGAGGTAATATTGCTTGACGTCGCATCAGCCATTTTCCAGATATTCGCCGCGAAAGTAACAGGAAATCTTTGCAGCAAAATACGGACGCAATGGTAAAAACGCACAAAGGAATCACCCTTCAAATCACTAGTCTAACAACGTAGGCACGAGCCGTGACACGTAGCACGTGTGAAATCAGTTCTGCAGTGTAACAAAGTACCTCCCAGTAGACTGGGAGGCTTTACTTTCTTCCCAGCGGTAAACCTTTCCACTCTTTCTGATGAAACAGACAGTGAAAGAAAGTTTAATATTCTCGCTTGCTTTCTAACTGTCGGCTTTGGGGAAATATCCTTTCATATTACTGTCAAGGGATATGCAAACTCTACAGTAACGTATCTCGATTGCAGGTGAATGAGTGTCTGTGATATGAAGCCGGCGATTAGGGAGACATTAATATTAAATCATAACGGCAGTCAAATGATACATGTACCTGCCAAAATGAATATTTGAAATGTTAAACAATCAATAACAAATTTATAAGGTTGGGAATATTGGAAATGTATAAGAAATAAGAGCCAACAGGAGAACATTTTGTGAGTCAATGTGTTGTTTAATGTCGCTTTTGCGATGGTGTTACAGTGGTAGGGCGACGTGGGCCATTAAGAGACCTATTTGCGCCAAGCGCTTTTGCTCTTGTGCGCGAGAGTTGCCTGTCCTGGAACAGGGGATGAGGGCTCGATTATC